GAATGCCAGGAATGCTAGGAGTGTGGTGAGATGATCCGTGAGTAAGATGGTGAGCACCGTAAGCAGCTGCAGCAGCAGCTGCACCACCAGCCAGCAATCCCCCTACGCCGTGGTGCCCTGAATATCAAATAACACAACACAACCACTTAGCAAATCATACTTGCACATGAACACATGCACAGCAGCTATAATTTTAACATTACCAAGCCATCACTAATATAAATATATACAAATATAACTTGAGACTTGAGAGAACAGCTCCTCATCCTCAAGCTAAGCAAACTCCATATGAGCATATGGAAATTGATTAATTAACATAATTCCGACATTAAAAGAACAATTCTTTGAATAAATTTGCAGCAACGTGGGGAGTAAGAAACACCGTGAAAACCAATTCCGGTTGATTTGGTGCCGGATTTTCTTTTTCTTTTGCAGATGACACCATATCACGAATTAAGAAGATTTGTTCTAATCTTCTAAGAAACCAAATAAAAACTTTCGGCTTTCCTACTTGATGCATCATAATTCATAAAGGGTTTTGTCATCCAATGGTGATATCATTTTACTTTAATTTGGACGAGAAATCAAAACGTGAACTAGGAACAAGAGAACCTCCAAAAGAGAAAAACTAGAATCGAAGTACAATCAGACACAAAATTCAGCCATGATTTCAGTGAGGGATCCATTTAGGGACAATAAATTCAGGCATAAAATCTCAATTACGAAACCCTAAAATTGTAGGGTCAACGCCAACCCAACACATAGTTTTCAAGTTCATGAACATAGAGAATTTGGGAATGAATGAATTTACCAGATGAGCCCTGATGGCCAGCGGGAGGGTATCCAGCCGGTGGGTAGCCTTGTTGTGGCGGGTAACCCTGCTGCGGTGGATAGCCCTGTGGAGGGTATCCCTGCTGCGGTGGATAGCCCTGTGGAGGGTATCCCTGCTGCGGCGGGTAGCCCTGCTGAGGTGGGTAACCCTGCTGAGGTGGGTAGCCGTGTTGACCCCCATGTCCAGGTATAAGGTGACTGAAAAGCCCTCTGTCAGCTTCATCGTCCTGATGCTTATCCTTGCCACCACCCATGTTCTGTTTGTTGTTGTTTCAGTTGAAATCTTGAGAGCAAATGAAAAAGCAAGTAATAGAAGATGTAGATATGGAGGAAGGAGGCGCGCTTGTTTTATAATGAAAAATATCGTTTTTATTTCCCTATATTTATGGACGCGGTTGGTCTCTCTCTCCCATCATGCCTTAGTGCTTAAGAATCTATCAATTGATTCGACGCGGCGAATATCAATTGGACGCGTCCAGGACGCTTCTTGGGCCGGCTTTATGGTCTTCACATTCATTCTTCTAGACACCCACCAATTTAGTCAGAACACCCAGTTCGGTTTATATTTTTTTTGGGCTTCATTTTCAAATCAAGTTTCAAAACGAACCCATTTCTATTTCTATTCCCTCTATCATCCACCCAACAATTTAATCAGCACACCCTACACAACCTTTTTGTTTGAAAATTCAAGCGATACTTTAACTATTCTAATATACAAGAAACTAGATCAAATTCGAGTACAAAGAAATTAACACATTGCTTTGATCAATTAATCCGAACCAGACTTGCCACCGTAACTCTTTATAAGTTAAAAAATAAAAAATAAAAACTAATTAACCGTTAAATCAAATTAATTAATATAATTTAACAATTGACCATCTAAAGCAGAATGATTCGTATTTTGTTCGCCGGTGATGTTTTCCATTCCAATTATTATCAATTAAAAT